TTAAATTATAAAGGCCTTATAATAATATTTTATTTTAATTAACTTTTTAACGTTAGTATTTTTGTAGTTATGTACTTATTTTTAAAAAGGCTGTAAGCCGCCCTGAGTCCGCAGGGAGAAGGGCGGGGTAGAAATTTAAATAATAAATTAAATAATAATAAATAAATAATAAATAAATTCAATAGGCAATAATCTACTATATAATGCTTCAATAAACAGAATATATACGTTTCTTGGTCAACCATGGGTTGTTCATTTGCCCTTTTCATTGTTAAATATGCAGCATTATGACTGGAAACATTTTATCACATAAAGCTTCATGAAGTATAAAACCAGACAGGAACTTATTCTTTAACTTGCAGGTCACTTACATCGCTTAACTGCTTGGTATTAATCTGTGCTTGTACCAAAACAGGAGAATCCACCGCCTGAGTGAACTTAATCTGATCTGGAGGCTTCTTATAGACAACCTGGGTGAAGTGAAAGCAAAGCATAATGAACATTTAGGCTGCAGTACTGCGGTCTTCATGGTATGTTTTGTATCTGGAATGATAGCAGATTTTAATACAGTATATCTGTTGCATCTAGAATACGTTCTCTCAACACACATTAAGATTAATTAAGGGCAGAAATAACAGTGGGAGGGAATCAGTGCTCTTTGTCTTGGGGACCACTTCTGAATCCGTTTCATTATCCAGGCAGATAACGACTGCCAAACCAGAAGCTAGCCAGAGGTTTGCTAGCCAGATGTTTATAATTCTGGTATAACAAGGTATGTCATGTACAAATGCCCCATTTCTAGCTATAGTTAAGGCATCTTACCTTTTTTGCAAACTCAGCCATAGCTTTTGGCAGTGGCTTGGTCTCCAAGCTTGTTTCAATTTAGTTTCTGAACGTTTTGTTACCAGGCTAGATATCATCATCAGCCATGGCTTATTTTGCAGGGTACAATAAGCTCTACCATGGTAAGGCTAAGGCTATTGTGCAAATAGAAATATGCTACACATACAGTAGCATGAGCTAAATCGAAATGGATTACAAGTCATCCTCAACTTACAACAGTTCATTCAGTGACTGTTCAAAGTTACAATGGCACTGAAAAAAAGTGACTTAGGACCACTTGTCACACTTAGGACCTTTTGTAGCATCCCCATGATCATGTGATCAAAATTCAAATCCTTGGCAACTGGTTGTTCATATTTATGACAGTTCCTGTGTCCCTTTTTGCAACCTTCTGACAAGCAAAATCAATGGGGAAGCCAGATTCACTTAACAATCATGTTAGTAATTTATCAGCTGCAGAGCTTCACTTAACAAATGTTGCAATAAAGGTCGTAAAATAGGGCAAAACCCACTTAACAAATGTCTCACTTAACAACAGAAATTTTGGGCTCAATTGTAGTCCTAAGTCAAGGACTATCTGTTATTTCCTGCAATTCTGAAAGCTTTCAGCCTATTATAGTCACGGAAAGATCAAAAGATATGACACGCTCAATTAAGGAGATGTTGAATAACTGTGACTTATTTACTATTCAGTAATGTGAACTATTCTTGATCCAGCCCACACAGATTGTCACTTAAGTGTGTTTGTGAGTGAGTGCACACAGTATTAAAGATGATTATTTCCATCACCAGGTCCAATTCTACAGAAAGTGAATTTAATTTATATAAGGTTTTGCTTGAGAAATTATGCATGTGATCCAAACACATGTTAACCACTAGATGTCATGAGCTTCCTATAAATTAATATGATGATGTAAGATGTTAGAATGATACCACTTGAGGACAAACTACACATTACATGCAAATGAACTTTTTTTTTAAATTAATACAAAGCAACCTCTGCAGGTTGCAGTTTTTAGCTAAGACCAAGCAGATAGCATAGGCTATAAAGAGTTCGATTCAATGTTTTTTTTTCTCATTTCTCTCCTTTATTCAAAATCCCAGTTCTTCAGTATGCCTGTTGGAATAATGGGACTCAGTGATGTGATCCTAAGTCAACATAGACCAAGACTCTTAAATAGAAAGCAGAATAAATATTTCAATAGAAGATAGCTTTTTTCCACTTCTGTGAAATATTTGAAAAAACACGACTCAACCAGTAGTCAGATTTACAGTTAAGGGGTCCTTGGTGCTCTCTGAGCTTGCTTGTTTTCTGGCAGACGTTTCATTACCCAAACTAGGTAACATCATCAGTGCTAGCCCTGATGATGTTACCTAGTTTGGATAATGAAATGTCTTCCAGAAAACAAGCAAGCTCAGAGAGCGCCAGGGACCCCTCATTTCAACCCTGAGCTACAAATAGTCGGATTTATGTCTGTGTTTTCTTATGCAGGTGCAGTATTTGTCTATCTTCAAAACTCATTTTATCATTTGGCCATTCAAATTGCTTTAAACAAGTTTCAAAAGGCACGCTTCCCCCCCCTCCCCCACATCTGAGGTTCTGAGCCATACACAAATACAAGATTTCACAGCAGCTCTTACGTCTTTGCACTTGTCCAGCTTCCTCTGGACTTCATATTCTGGAGTCAAAGTCTGGGGGAAGTAGCAGTTACCCTTTTCTTCTTCGTAGTCGGCTTTGTAGTTTTTCTAGAGAAACAATAAGGGATCAGTAACCGTAACAAATCAGCGAAGCCAGATTGGGGAGATAGAACTCATACTCACGTCGCTCGTCATAGCGCCAACCTTCATGCAATGTATCTGATAGGGGTCCTCATGGCTGCCTATGTACCGGCCCAAGACATTGGCTATGTAAGGCTCTTTGTATTTGATCTGGAAAAGAATGCCAGCAGTTTTTTACAAGAAACTGCACAACTTTCTCTGGGACACGTTAAAGAACTACTTCTATCACACTTACATCACTAAAGTCTTTCAGGACATTGTCGATTTTGTACTTTGGAGTCTCACAGTAGTTAATACTTTTCGCTTTGGCTTTCTCGTAGGCGTCCTTATATAATCTCTGCCAGAAAAAAAAAAGAAAAAAGAATATAAAGTATTACAGAAGTATTAGCGTAAGGGGAACCCAGAAAAAAAAAAACTCGTCTGCTGATTATGATGCCATCAAACCTGTGCTGTCTTCAAAAATGAAGCAAGCAGGTCTAGAATACAAATCTTTATTGTTCATTGTTTATCTTATCCAAGTTATGAACACTGTGAAAGCAAAGCCTTTCTGGATCAAATGTGAAAAAAGGAACATTCTACTCAAAGGATGTTTTATAGTCTACACCAGGGGTAGTCAACCTTGGCTCTTTTATGACTTGTGGACTTCAACTCCCAGAATTCCTGAGCCAGCACAGCTGTGCTGGCTCAGGAATTCTGGGAGTTGAAGTCCACAAACCATAAAAGAGCCAAGGTTGACTACCCCTGGTCTACACTGATCTAACCAATTTGCTGATTAAATTTTGCATTCTCATAACAAGACAAGAGGTTACCCAACAAACCTATTACAGTAATTTTAATTTTAATTTTAAATAACAAATAATGATGAATTGTTGAAACTCTGTTTTGTCAAATCCATCCCTGGAAAACAAATTGCATACTTACATCATTTACATTATTTGCAACAGCTTTTAGATGCCTGAGCATCGGATTCTCAGTTGCTGGAAGTACGTTATAATCTGCTGAACCTTTGGCTTTTTCATAATCTTCCTTGTATTTCACCTAGAAGAATTAAGGGAAAAGATTTTAATGCGTTTTCCAATTTTACAATATCATTTTGTAACCTTTTAATTTGGGCTTTTCACTCAAAGATTTTTTTTAAAAAAACATTGGAAACATTCATATACTATTCTAAATCAAACACATTTGAGGCTCTTAAGAGATGCCATCTCGTCAATTAGGAAAACAGGTTCAACTGGAAAATGCTATTTGTACCTCGTACTTGGCAATTGTTCCATAGTCAAAAAAAAAAAGCCATTGCTGATAAGCTTATGAAATATAACTGGAATGTATTGTGCTTTCGAGGGTTACAGCAAGTATCTTTTTTGTTAGCAAAATACCTTTTCAACTTCTATTATCTCTTCTGCTAAACGTGTATTACTAAATCTGAGAAAGATAGCAATGCATTCAAAAATGAAGTGAAGGACATTGCGTTCTCATCAGCTTGGATCCAAGTCTATTTGTTAGCACAGTTATACTATTGGGGGACACGCACAGACACACACAGATAGACACACACACCAGCAGAAAAAAGGAAGATAATTTTCATCATTTCCCATATGGCCTCTTTTGCCTCCTAGAAAAGTAGGGTTGTCACTAAAGTGGAAAACAGAAATCAATGAAAGTTCTCTCTTCCACCAACAAAAGTTTCCACTGGATCACCAACATAAGGAACAAAGGAATTCAGTTTTTGCAGAATTCCCTTGTTAAGCTAAAATTTTCTTGAACAATGTCAAAACCTAACAGATGCACCCAAGTCTGACTTAATGGTGCTACACATTAAACTTTCCTTGAGCACCATAATGAGATGAGGCTGCACAATATATATAATACCAGCTGTATAAATGAGCGGGTCAAAAAGAGTACAATTCCAGCTGTGACCATATGAACAAAGACCCATGTGTTAATGTACATATGTTAATGTCACAAGCACACACAGGGGCTTTGTTCAGTGCCATCTTCACTTCTTGACCCCTCCGGCATTGCTATCTATGATACATTTTCAATTTAGACAGAAATGCCTTCCTTCCAACTCAACTCATGTGAGATGACTAAAAGCTTTGAACAAGCCCTATTTTGGATGGGATTTTCTTTGCATGTAAAATGAAATGATCAGAAGATTCCAAGCACATTATGAGTCGCAGCATTGCCTGGTCTCTCCAATGGGCTCAATTTAAACACATAGCTATAGCTAGACTTATTCCCATACCTTACTGGCAGCAACTCCAGCACACTTATTAACTGCATACTCTGGTGTTTCTGTCTGCATGAAGTAGATTTGGTCTTTCTTAGATTCCCAGTCTTCCTGATATTTTCTCTGCAAACGGCAGAAAGTGCAAGAATGTAGTACAGCTCAAAATTGGAATTTTATTAGAAAGGCAAGCAGTCACTATAAAATAGGGGAAGAGAGAAAGGGAGAAAAAAGCAAACACAAAATGGCATTTTGATATTCCTTCTTACTGGGCTCAAGTTGTCAGAGTTCATTTTGGCAACTGCAACATCATAGCATGGTGTTTGGCTCCATTTGCCCTTCTTCTTGTTATAGTCTTCGTGATAGTTGTGCTATAACAAACAAGATATAAATATTGGACTTTAGATAAACTACTTAAGAAAAAGAAATATATTAAAATAGATTTGCTTTCCAGCTGAAAGTAAACTATTGCACTTTAGTTTTTAGACTCTTCTATTTTAAAAATGTTTGAATAAAAAGTAATTGCTCTATAACTTTCAAAAACATTCTCAGAAGAATAGAATAGAATAGAATAGAATAGAATAGAATAGAATAGAATAGAATAGAATAGAATAGAATAGAATAGAATAGAATAGAATAGAATGGCGTGGTGGCCTAGAGGTGAAGACGCTCGCTCCCACTCAGAAGGTTGAGAATTCAATCCTAGGTAGTAGCAGATATTTCTCTCCTGGGGAACAAAAAGAAATATCTACTGTGAACTCTGTATGGTGTCAGGAAGGGCATCTGGCCAGTAAACACTCAGCTCCATCCAGTTGCCCTGACTCTACCCTGAATTAAGGAATTACAGGTTCATAAAAAGGGAGAAAAATGGAATGGAATGGAATGGAATGGAATAGAATAGAATAGAATAGAATAGAATAGAATAGAATAGAATAGAATAGAATAGAATAGAATAGAATAGAATAGAATAACTTTATTTCACCAAGTGTGATTAGACACAAAAGGAATTTGTCTCCAGAGCAGAAGCTCTCAGTGTATCCATTATGGAAAATCTTCCTAGAGAAATCAATCTGGTGCCTATCTCCTACTTGCTTTCTGATGTCAAATATAACTAATGCGGCGGGGGAAAGGTCACATAGCATACCATTAAAAATATAGCACTGAATTTAGTAAGTTTAAATTTATGATTGGGTAATACATTATGAATACATTAATAATGAATAAAATCTAAATATATCTAAATATCAGGTTTATGAGTCATGTTTCATGGATCTCATTGTGTTAAATGCCTATTTCTCGCCCGTCAATTTTTTATTTTTTTTTTAAATCTTATCAGGCATTATTTTACATGGAATGAGAAAAGATTTATCTAAAATTAGAAAGGGGGATTTATTTCAGCCGCACCAAAAAAAAGTGTCTTTAAAGGCTCTTTTTATAAATGAATTACTCTAGTTCAAACACAAACAAAAATTAGTTACACAAAATGTGCCAGGAAAAATTTCAACAATTAAAAGTACAAGAAATACCTAGCCCAAGAAATACCTAGCCCAAAGTATAAAGGCCACCCCCCCAAAAAAAACCCCAAGGATGTTGTCCTATTAAACAAATCTAAGATAAGGTATACACAAATGATAACTTGCTAAACTGATTCTATATGTGTAAATTTCCACATGAAGAAAAATATGAAAGAAACAATGCTTAAACCATTGGAGCAGCTGCCATCTTAGAATGGATGGGAAACAAGAATTAAGAATGCCGAACCTCAAGCGACTCATTGAAAGCACCTTTTAGCAAGATCCATGGCTAAATTTTGGGAAGTTCTTTCTTCATAAGCAAAAATGAACTTCTGAACTTACACAATACATTGCAATGGGTGACAAAAGTATTCAACTCGCTGCTGTCCATTGCTCCGATGTTAACCCCTTTACCTCTGTTCTCAGCCACTAGAAAGGTGGAGCTGTGAAGTAGTTGCCAGGGACAGTAGGCTAAAAACACCATTCTTGGTTTTCCACAGTAGAAAGACCTCTTGAACAGTCTGTGGAATCCGGGGCAGCCTCATACTTGTTATCTGGACTACATAGATGTTCTACTTGTTATCTGGACTACATAGATGTTCTAATAAATGATCCAGTATATTGTAGGTCAGCCCCAATAGATAGATCAGACCAGCAAATCAACTCCACAGGAAGGAATTGACATCTCAATACTCTAATTGAGATTGGCTATAATAACAGGGTCTTGCAAGTCTGATTGTGATCTTCCTCCTCCTCCTCCTTCTCCACCACCACCACCACCACCACCACCACCAGTGAATTAGGGAGTTATCTCCTTGAGCTTCATCCAAACATTATTTTGCTTTTCTGGACTTTAAAAAAAAAATCAGCTCCTCTTGCTTCTGTAACAGTTCCTGCATTTTCCATTAAGGTCAACTTCCTTACTCCACACAACACAGTAAAATCTCAGCTTTGGCCATCCAGCCAATTCTAACATAAATTTATAAGTCACCACAAGACTGCAAGGTTGTAGGCAGGATTGCCTCTTTTTGTAAAGTTTACACACACATCCTTAAGTTCTTCATTGGGGCCTTTATGACAGGTTCCTGCCACACTTATATTTCAGTGGTGGGTCTTAAATCATAGAACAGCTTCCTGCTGAATTTAAGTCGGGTCAATTTATTTCTTTGTTATTGGTTTGTTAAATGTATATGACGCCCATCTCCACGAAAAGGAAACTCGATCCGTGTTATGATTTAAGAGCAGGCTTTAAAATAACTCTAAATTGGATTCTATTGTATTCAGAAAATTAAAAGTTACCTAGAGATGGAAAGAAAGTGAGCAAAATATGAAATTATCAGTCAACCAATAATAAGCTATGGATTGGTTGGTTGGCTGATTTTCTTTATGCTAACACAGGTGGAAAGATAGAATGGGAAAGAGAAGCATTATTGCAAAATGGTTGGGATAGCAAGGTGCAAGATTCACCTGTAAAGGGCACTGATATTTTCCCCCTCCTTGTAAGATATTTTAGAGATCCTTGATGACTGTCCTGCTCTAAGCTCAGGTGAATGTATTATAATTAATTCTGTCACAAAATACTCACGTCACTGAGCTGTCGAGTAACTTTCTTGGCAAGCTCCACATCAGGGGGGTCAGGCACAGAAGTGTATTTCGATTTCTGCTCAGCGTGTCCTTTTTTGTAAACAATCTGAAATCATCAGGAAAAAGAGGCCTGGTTATTTAAACAAGCATATTTATTCTTGCAACCTGTCTCAATGCGAGTTAATTTTCATGGAAGCAAAATATACAGTACCTCTGTTAATTTAGCATAGTTATTTTAGGATTTTATGCCAGGAATAAAACAAGATAATCAGAGGAAGCAATTGTTTCGTTGCTTGGCTTTAGGCATGCTAGGTGGTAAAATTTACTCTTTACCACAACAAAGTAGCCATCTTTATAGAAGTTAATAAATTAAGAGCTAGTGTGGCAAGTTTCTACTGCACCATTTATTTTAATGCGCCCTTTATTTTAATGGCTCTGGTATTGGTTGGATTAGAGAATAATACTTTCCCAAATTGGAACATTATTGCCTTCGTTCCTTTGAATCAGACTCAGTTCTTAATAAGTATAATCTTTTAGTTTTCTTGGCAGCATGGAGAAATGATTTGCTATTGTCTTCATTCCAGTTTTTTTGATTTTTGTCTAACCTACAGTTCAAGTCCTAACCCAGGTCCAACCCTGCTAGGCTTTTGAGATCACCCAATGTCAACGAGGTGCTGCCACAGATTTCTTCTCCATCACCTTCAATGCACCATCCATCCCATTCCAGTGCCCCTTCTATTGCTGTGACATTACTGTGCCAAAGGGCAAGACAAATGTGCCTCATACGGCCTTCTATCTCATTCTTGCAAAAGCCCTTTCAAGATTATCCAGCTTCTAGACATTGTTCACCCACTAAACATACTGATTTAAATCTAGATTCTTCTAATCCAACACTCTTAACTATTAGCTATGTCATGCTTGGGTGCCCTTTCCTATGGAGATTCTCAATCATCCAGGTCATGATTGTCCCAAAGGTGCTTTTCCAAAAAGCAACTGGACTTTCTTGGTTTTTGTTGAAAACATTTTTGCTTCTTCTTGGATGAGAAGTAAAACGTTTCCCAAGAAAGTCCAGTGTCCTTTTGGGAAAGCATCTTTGGATGCCCTTTCCCAATTACCCAGGTCCAGAACCAATGACCAGTCAGGATTTTGATACTTACATCACTGAGGGCCTTTTGTGCCTTTGCAACTCTCCTAAGTTCAGGACTGTCATCATAAGGATAGAAGAGGGATTTGTCTGCTTCCCACTCTTCAACGTAAGGTTTCTGAGGAAAAAGTAACCACAAAACTCATTGGACCCAGGCAGGAAAGAAGCACCAGATAAACAGAAAAGGATCACACATTCTCCTAACCAGAAGTAGACCTACCTTACTGAACAAGGCTGTATTTTTTATAGCGTGAACAAGCTCAGGAGCATCAGGAGGAAGCAGGTACTTTTCCTTATTTTCTTCCCAGTTCTGTTTGTATAAAACCTATAAGGACAAAAACAAAAAATACTGCATTGGTTGCAAGAACTGTAAAGGAGCTTCTCTTTTACGTCCAATTCTTCATAAAGTCTAACAATAGTCAAATTCACTTGCTAGGATGGTTGCCGATCCCACTCTTTCCTATACTGCTTCTGAACACCTCAGTGTTCCTTGACGTCTTTTATACATAATTGCCTAGCCTTGATTCTTCAAAATTATTGTTTAAACACACATAACAAAGTCAAATTTCTACTGTGTTAAGCTGTTCTGTGAACGTATGCAGCCTCAAAAGGCAAATTTACTGTATTCATTCACCTAACTGAACAAATGAGAATTTGCTAGAATCTTCTTTTTTTAAATCAATCTTCTTTTTTTAAATCATCTCTCTGTGGTTTCCAATAATAATCAGATGAGTCATATCTCCAGTGTCCAATCTGATGACCAAGGTTGTTGACTGTGTCCTTGCTTCATTTTGTAGGAAACGGAAGAATGCTTTGGTCACCATAGTTGATTTCACAGTTTAATGCCAATCCAGAAGGACAGGAAGTGACCATACTGAGACAAAGCATAACATTTCAAGACAATCCCTTGTGTGAAATGTGTGGTTTATGCAATTTAGAATAGGGAGGATTAGCACAGGTGTTATCATAGTCTACACATAAATTGGACGTATCAGGCATATTAATTCCTTCAGAACTAAGCTGCATCATAGTAAAATTAAAGTTTCAGGGAGAAATAGAAGCACCAGTAGCTTCCTTGGAGACTGCATGGTAACTGATTCAGGCACGTATTTCACTGTCTGGGTAAATATTTCCTGGGGATTGAGGAGAATAAGGTATTCTTTTGCACTTCAAGCATTAAACTGAAATACACAATGTATTAGATTGCATCAGCTGAAAAACTGAACATCTGAATGTGATGCTGTCAGTGACTCCAAGCAAACCAGTTTTGCCAGGGGTAGGCAACCTTGGCTCTTTTATGACTCGTGGACTTCAACTCCCAGAATTCCTAAGCCAGCTCCATGAGTCATAAAAAAGCCAAGGTTGCCTACCCTTGGCCTAACCTCATTTAGCAGTTGCTAAATGAAACTACAACTATGCTTATAATCTTATTTCAGCTTTCCTTTGCTTTACAGACCTGCAAAGGTCAGAAAGAGAGGATTGGCCATACAGTTACTTTTTCATCACTATATCATCACTGCAGTGGTTGCTAAAAGAGACAGTCACTGAACAAGGACGACCTTTATAACTCAGCAGAAATGCATAAACTTCTTTTCCATTAGAAAGTTGGATGACAAGTGAAAAAGCACATATATTGTTGGTCTGTATTAGAAGGTTTCTCTCATAATTTATCCAGAAATAAAGTAAACCATTTGAGCTGCATAAGCATCACCTAGGGCAGTGGTGGCGAACCTATGGTACCTCTGCCAGAGGCAGCACTCGGAGCCCTCTCTGTGGGCACACGTGCCGTTGCCCCAGCCTCGCTTCCCCCACAACCCCCTCCTCTCCAGCAGCCCCCCTGAAGGAGAGTTGCCCCTGAGCGGGGCCCACGCGGGGCAGCGCAGCCAAGGACATGGCAGCAGGCAGCGTAGACAAGACTCTGCCCTCACACCCCATCGTGCACAGTTGATGCTGCAGAGCGCGGGCAGAGGGCATGACTGCCATAGCGCTGCTGGGCTGCCAGGGCAATCTGCGGCGGGCCCTGGAGGCAGTGAGTGGCCCTGCGGGCAGGTGGGGTGGGGATGGTGGGCGGGGCAGGAGTGGGGCAGGGGGTGGAGCGGGGGTGGGGCCAGTTTTTGGGCACTCGGTCTCTAAAAGGTTCGCCATCACTGACCTAGGGTTTCGGGGTTTTTTTCTTTACAATTCTCATTAATTTGTACATCACAGGATGACTTACCTTGCTGACTTGCTGAGAAACTTTTTTTGCATGCTCAATGTCCCTTGATTTTTCGTCCACGTGGCAGTCAGTTCGAGCTGCCTCCCCAGCCATGCGATACTTAACCTACAGAAAATACATACAGGCTATACAGTATAGAGAATTGTAGTAAATCATTGCTTTGAAGACAGAAAATGGAGCCAAAAGAAACTGAAATCAAATGATCATTTAATTCATGGGATTTCTTCAAGTTTTTTTAATATGCATTTAAAAAGAAAAGGGTACTAGCTTTTGGAAAAGCTCTTGTGGGGGGGGGCATATCCCAGGGTTTGGAGATGACTGGAAGGGTGTTCTTATGCTGAGACAGAATCCACCCATAAGGCCAGCCGTCAAGTGTGAAGAATCAAGACCACACAGTTCTAATCAAGCTAATTTATTGCTCATGCCTATACACAAGAATCTAGTCATCTAACAGTCACCACTAAATTAGTGCTAGATAAGGGCCAACAGAATTCAAGGGAGGCTGGACTTGGATCGCTTGTGGCAACCTAATGACTCCAAGCTGATTCCTCTCTTGACTCTGCCCCCAGTCTCTGCTGCTGCTTCTTCTCCTACACCAGCAGCTTTCATGCCTGCAGTATTTTTCAGTTAGTCAGGAACTGTAATTATAACCCACAGGTATGTAGTAAGAAGTCTCAGATTTCTGGCTTGAAGCGGAGTCTGCAGTTTCCTTTGCCAAGGATCCAGCAATATTTATATCCTAAAGTTCCAGATTGGCTTACTGTAATATTATGAGTGAGCTTCTGACTAAAATTAAAACGGTATCATCTAGTCATGGTTTCTTCTTCCTGATCCTTACCTCACTGAGCTGGTCCTGGACTTTCTTGATTCTCCGAAGTTCAGGAGTATCTGTTGTTATTCCACATGGTTTTCCTTTTTCTTTTTCAAATTTTTCCTTGTACTTTTTCTGGGAGCAGAGAAGACAGCAAAATGTAGAGCTATTTTTGGCATGTCAAAGTATTAGGGTTAAGAAGCCATGTAGAAATGCCTTTGCATTTCAAGCTTTAACGCATTTCTATAGGTGGGCGCATCCGAATTAGATAAACTGTTTCGATTTCAAATCCCACAGTTCCTTACAATTTGCCAAAAAGGCTTGATTGTAGGTAGTCCTCAACTTACAACAGTTCATTTAGTGACCATTTGAAGTGACAACAGCACTGAAAAAAGTGACTTATTATCATTTTTCACACTTATGACCGTTGCAGCATCACCATGGTCATGTGATCAAATCTCAGAGGCTTGGCAACTGACACATATTTATGACGGTTGCAGTGTCCCGGGGTCATGTGATCACCTTTTGCGACCTTCTGACAAGCAAAGTCAATGGGGAAGCCGGATTCACTTAACAATCATGTTACTCATTTAACAACGGCAGTGATTCACTTAACAACTATGGCAATAAAGATCATAAAATGGGGCAAAATTCACTTAACAAATGTCTCACTTAACAACAAAAAATTGGGGCTCAATTGTGGTCGTAAGTCAAGGACTACCAGTAATAGGAAAGAGACTCCATAAAATCTGGGGACATCAAATTGGTGTGTGAGTAGGGAGTGTGTATGTGCCTGCATATATACAAACATAGATATATCTCCATGCATAGTTGGATGAAAGTTTAATTTATATATAAATTGCATAATGTTCTGATTAAGGGACATTTTTTTTTCTCTAAACTTACGGCCCTACAGATCAGCTTTGGCTTTCTCTGAATATACTGAATTTATGCTCTGAGTACAAAACACATACACACGCTCACATGTAGATAAGGTGAATTAGGTTGTTTCATTTAATCAAAGAAGTTATGGTCTGAATAAAGAAAGAGTATAAACTTGAACTTTTTCAGACCATTATTCTAAATATTAAACTAAGCTTTGATTCTTTCTGACGAGCTTACTCTGAGATTAGGATTCCCAGCTCCCCCATATGCTACAGTAATTGACAACTTTTTATTTTAGGATCTTTTTTTAAAAAACAAATTGCTGAAACTCCTTAAAATGGGATTAAACTGCTTTGAATTTGAGAAGAAACAAATTTCTGACTCACCTCGCTGAAGAGCTTTTGCATTTTTGAACTGTGATCCAAGTAAGGTGTCAGAAACTTAGATGTATCCACTTTTTTCCGTACAACTTTTTTCCTGACAGGATGGGAGGCCTTGTGAGAAGTGTCTGTGGTTTCCGGAGGTTGTGTACGTGATGTTGTGGTTTCATAAGTATGCGTTCTTGTTTCTGAAGGATGCCTGCTTGTTTCTGAAGTATGTCTTGTTGTTACTGTCTGCGGTGTGGAGCCAGTTCTGTATGTGGTCTCAGTGTACTCAGTAATCACCTAAGAATTGGAAAGGTGTTTCAAATTTATCTCCCAACTTAGCATTCGTTTTAGAGCCTTTTAAGTTGATACCTTTGGAGTTAAAATTGTCTATATTCCTGATAATCTTTTGAAAATCAGTACAACTGAGATAGAGGACTTTGTTCGGAACTAGACTTTGACAATTTCTAAAGAGTTTTCAAAGTTAGTAATCTACACCCCACAATAGATTATATGAATGATTTATTTGGATAGCTTTTTCACCATACATCAGAGGTCCCCAACATTTGGGGCACCAAGGACCGGTTCCGTGGAGAGGGGTTTTTCCATGGATTGGAGAATGCATGGTTTTGTGTATTGCCTGCTTGTTCGTGTGCACCGGTTGCTGGCATGCTGCGGCCCAGTACCGGTCCATGGACCGGTGGTTGGGGGCCCCTGCCATACATCATTTCATATGTTTGTGCAATGTACAAAAGTACACATTTAAGTTGAGTCTTCACCTATCCTCAAGATAAATGGTGAAGGCAGAAAGTTTTGAAAATTAGGGAATAATGGAATAGTTGTAGAGACTATGCAAAGAATAGTTCATACTATTGTTTGTTTGATCTGTATGACTACTGAGAGACTACTAACTGAGTCATACAGATATTGTATTTAAGAATATCATATCCTGATATTCTTGAATTCAGGTTGGTCCATATAACATATTGCATCTATTTTTCTGAATTGAATCAGCCACAAGTTCTAATTAAAAAGTATATTAAAAGAATTGCCAGGAGTAATAAACAACAAATATTTAGAGTAAAATAATCTTACAGTATTTATCTTCAGGTTGCTAGTAACATTTATGGACAGAAAAATCTTGTTCCAAAGATGAACAAGAGGGACAATATGTGAATTATTGATGCAACTTGGACAAGAAACAAAAACAAGAAAATGACATTGGACATTCCAAAGTGAATTACATCAGACAAATGAATGGAATGAATGGATGAAAGGAATGTTTCCTTTTGAGATGGGATAGGTGTGTGAATCAGGAAGAAAAAAAAAAGCAAAATGAAAAAGCTGAAGGACAGGGGTCTACAAACCAAGTAGTAGTGTTACATTTTACAGTCCCATTACTATTGGAGCTATGAAACACACCAACAAAAGCTTGCAGGAATAAATATTCTGTACATCCATATTTACTCTCTTCTTAGCTGAGTTTTCAAGTTTTCACTTTCATTTAGCAACCTCTAAGAACTACTTTTTTCCCTTTATTTTCTGGTAGATGGCCAAGATTTCAAGAGCAGAGGTATATATATATATTTGATTGGCTTGAATGGTATGATTGGCCTAAAATGTGTATATACTGTATATACACACACATTTTAGGCCAATCATACCATTCAAGCCAATCAAAAATTAGTCACCAGTTTCAGTAGGATGCAGGTATCACTGTACATCTGCATCACCCAAAAGAAAATTAAGTGTTTTCAAAACATCTCAATTAGTACTTTACAAACCATTCAGCATGTGGACAAGGGAAAAAGTTCAGTGCAATTAAAGCTTGCTGCAAATTAAGGCAAATAAAGGTAGGAGTAGGAAATAGTAAGTTAACTAAAACAAGCCTTCAACTCTTGCTGGAGGAAAAAAAATCTGGATTTTCATTTATTTTTCCTTTCTTCTACAACAGTGTTTCTCAACCTTGATAATTTTAAGGCATGTGGACTTCAACTCCCAGAATTCCACAGCCAGCAATGCTGGCTGTGGAATTCTGGGAGTTGAAGTCCACATGCCTTAAAATTGTCAAGGATGAGAAACACTGTTCTACAACTTAAAAAAAAAAGAATATAGGAATCAGGCAGGCAGAAAGCCACTGAGCCTTATTATACCAAGCTACATCTTTCTCTACTGGGGAACCAGAGTCTCTCCCACCATTGAAAGAGATTGTTCCATTTATATAGATTAGGCATAGGTGCAGATGTTAACATCTACTGCGCCCCCTAACCCCAAAATTCATAAATCTATCCCTTACCATCAAAAAACTGCCCACCATTGCATTAAGAAGACACTCAAAGCAAGATCAACATTCTGTTATACACAGTAAGTTGTTGGTTGACTTTGTTCTTCTCAGAGGTTATTATTAGATTACTCAACTATGTAAAACAAATCTATTAAATTATTTTATATTATACACACACAAAATGTTGAAAAAGCATTAAATTCCACAAAATCAGACGTTTGGGCGTAAAACAGAGGCTTTTACCTCGTCTGGTTCACCCTCGACCTCCTCTTCTATGTAGTACTATAAACAAAGAAGAAACCTCATTATTTTTCACAAGGTCGTTCATAAAAACACATCTGTTTCTCTTGAGGCAAAGAATAAAATCTCAGTCTGAAGAATGAAGTGATTGGTAAGGATTTTCCATGGACAGTGCTCAAAGATTTAGCCGCTGGTAAGATCCACAGGCATTTTGTTCCATAAACACCAGCGGATTTGTGATTGCCAATCTCTCATAATACTTAATGCTGTTAAAAATGTTGTTTTTCCTTGTATCATAAAAACGTAGCTTTTAAATGTTGTATTAGATCCAATTCAAGAATTCCAAGACTTCACATCTCCTGCTTGCACTTAAGGAATTTTGGACACCCATTGGCTTGTTCATACGATAATCTTTTAAAAATCATGACTCAGCAGTGAGCGAATAGGATAAGTGAGTTCACCAGATCACTAGCCTAACCTAAAATCATGATCAAACTCACCCTTTCACTAAATGTACCATTTGGGTTATTAAGGAAGGGGAGATAATCCAAAAGATCATTCAAATACCAATGCAAAAAGCAGGTAAACCCACAATATTTCTAAAGTGATACATTTGCAACCCGCACTGACAATCTTGCATTTAATTGTTTTCTTGTGAAAATGGCATTGTCAGAGAACTAAGAAACTCTTTAACAGGGAAAAGATTTTATTCATCCGTGAATTCTTTTTAAATGAAATATTGTTATGCCCTAGGAACATTTGTCATGGACTAGTCATTTGAGTTTGCCATCCGACAGCTCTGGTAAAAGAAAGGCTTTAATAAAATGGCAACTTATGTATCAAAACATGATCATATTTTATTGGAATGACTGTTACACATTAAATATATATGTGTGTATATATTTCTTAATTGGGGCTCTGCAAAGCTGCAGTGAGATCACTCAAATGGATGATTCAAATTTTGTTTGAAATGATTCAAGCCAGAACTGAAACATAGCCAACAATCTTCCAGAATTTCCCTTGGATGTCTCAGAACTGTTTATGCTTCAGGGTGTATTATTATATTTAACTTCAAGAAAGAAGAATTTAAGAAGAAACCATGCCTGAACAAGAATTACTGGACAAAAAAAATCTTAGCGTCTTTCACTGCTCAGCAATCCAAAACAATCCTCTATCTGAAGGGGGGGAAAAACCTCTAATATGTCTGCATAATATGTGTGACTGACCAAATGGAATACAAGCTATCAATCACCTGTATCCAATCTCTGCGAAGCCACAAGGAATTGAATACTTTCTTGATTTTTCTGTCTGCCTGCTATATTTGATAAGCTGATTTAATTTTGTGTTAACACAACTGCCATAATTATACTGTACATAGCTATAGGTCTCAAACATGGATATTAACTCGTGTTTAGATTAGATTATATCTTACAAGTGTTGAGGGTTTTTTTTCTAGGCTATTTTCATGTTTTGAATTGGGTCCTGTTACTACTAAGAGGGGGGGTTGTATCAGGGCTGAACTACTGCTTCTTAGCATCTTAACTAAGATAAAGTTCAATATCACGACCAAACTCAAATTCCATAAAGAATTTTGGTGCCTATGGAATGATCCAGCTTCCAGAAGAGTACAAACAATATTCATTTCCCTTGATCTTCCAAAGAAAGCAAGATAAGAAACAAAGAACCTAGATGTGGAAGACAATTGTAAAGAGGGATTGTTTCAGAAGATTTTTTTTTAAAGTCCAGTTGATCACCTCAAATCAATATGCTCATTTGAACACAGGAAAGAAAGTGATATTATCAACCTTTATGTTTCATAATGAAACAAACAGTATTTATTTATTTTATTTATTTTATTAAATTTATATCCCGCCCTTCTCCTTGCGGACTCAGGGCGGCTAACAATCGGGTAAAAATACACAAATAACATTACAAATTTAAAAATTAGTTAAAAAGGAAATATTTAAATTTAATCTAATTAAAATATAATTAAAACCCCCTCTAAAAGTTTCCCCTAGGCCAGTCCCGCAA